TGTCTAAATTGTTTTTTTGTCTTTTTTTCTTTTTAATTTAGGCGTGGATTCTGTGAACAAATTGAAAAATCTTTGTATCTGCGTGTAAGATCTGTCGATTTCTTACAATAGGTTTTTAATCAATGTGTCTGCAGGAAGCGTTCCGTTCTGTTGAAGATATTCATGGCTTGATGTGCATGGTCAAGAAAACACCCAAAGCATCCTTGATGGTGGTTTATTATGCCAAATTGACAGAGATCTTTTGGATTTCAGCTAGCCATCTTAATCATGCTTATGCATGGTTCAAGTTGTTTACACTGCAAAAAAGCTTTAACAAGAATTTAAACCAGAAGGATTTGCAATTGATTGCATCATCTGTCATCTTGGCTGCACTCTCGGTTGCACCCTATGACCAAACACGTGCTACATCACATTTGGAACTTGAAAATGAGAAAGAACGCAATTTGAGAATGGCTAATCTCATCGGGTTTAATCTTGAACCCAGAGTTGACAGAGGAGATGTGGTATTGCCATTTTCTCTTTTTTATTTTATTTTTTATTTTTTTATTCTTATGATTCCATTTTTAATGAGTTCATCATTCTAACGCTTTGTTTTGTGTGCAGCTTTCAAGATCAGCTCTTCTCTCGGAATTGGTAAAGTTTGTTTTGTTATTTTTATTTACACAGTCAATTGAAATTTAATTCCTTTTTCCTGTGATGGACATTAGCAAAAATTTCTCTTAGCAATAAGGGCAATGCTTCTAATGCTTCTCTGATATATTTTATGATTTTCATACAAATGACAATTTTGCGATGGCGTATCATGTTGAGAATTTAATCTTTTGGTACTTTGAGTAAAAAATTGGCTTTCATTTTGTCATATAAATCTTGCTATGACATAATTTCCTTATGTGCTATTACTTATTAGTACTAAATTAGATTTTCTTTTCAAATGTTTGTCAATGTGTATGCATTGTGCATATTATGACATTGTCTTTATGTTAAGTTTGCAATCAATATGGTCTTATTTCGGTTTTGTTTTCAGGTCTCGAAAGGTGTGTTGAGCTGTGCAACCCAGGAAGTAAAAGATCTTTACCATCTCCTGGAGCATGAGTTCCTACCCCTTGACCTTGCTATAAAGATGCAACCATTGTTGACCAAAATCTCGAAATTTGGAGGTAAGCTGTCCTCAGCATCTTCTGTTCCAGAAGTGCAACTGTCTCAATATGTTCCCGCCCTTGAAAAGCTTGGTACTCTGAGGTTGCTCCATCAGGTGTGTTGAATATTTGTTATCTTAAATGATTTGTAGTAGTATCTCTGTGTTCGTATAAATTTTTAACATTGTTGTTGATTTATCCCTCTTCAATTGTCAGGTATCCCAAGTGTATCAGATAATGAAGATTGAATGTTTATCTCAGATGATCCCATTTTACGACTTTTCTGTTGTTGAGAAGATTTATGTGGATGCTGTTAAACATAACTTCATAGCTATGAAAGTTGACCATATGAAGGGTGTTATGTTGTTTGGTAACTTGGTAAGTTAGAGATTGCATACTCTGCATTTGCCTCATTTTTCATGCTGTACAAGTCACAGTCTGACTGTCTTCTCAATAACTCTGTCAGGGTCTAGAATCTGATGGGCTTCGAGATCACCTAACCAACCTTGCCGAGTCTCTAAATAAGGCTAGGTCTATGATGTACCCTCCTATTAAGGGAGAGTCAAAACTAGTTGAAATTCTGCCTTCTTTAGCTGATACTGTTGATAAGGAACACAAAAGGCTTCTTGCTAGGAAATCAATCATCGAAAAAAGGAAGGAGGAGCAAGAACGTCAACTTCTGGAAATGGTAAGTCTCTGCGTACATCTACCTTGAGTTGCAGTTATTAATAGTATGGAAATGGACAAATCATAGACTAAGCTTTCAATTTCTCAGGAACGTGAGGAAGAGTCTAAGAGGCTCAAACAACAGAAAATAACTGAAGTAGCAGAACAGAAGAGGCTTGCTGAAGAAGCAGAACAAAGGAGGAATCAAAGGATCCGAAAGGAAATAGAGGAGAAAGAAATTGACGAAGCACAGAAGCTCCTTGACGAAACACGCAAGAAAAAGAAAGGAAAGAAACATATTTTGGATGGAGTAAGTGAAAGATTTCTTGTTAGTTATGTTTTAGATGGAAGACCCTATCTTTATCTATATTATTTGTGTACAGGGGAAGGTGACTAAGCAAAGTTTAATGGAGTTGGCCCTGAGCGAACAGCTCAGGGAGAGGCAAGAAATGGAGAAGAAGTTACTAAAACTTGGAAAAACAATGGACTACTTGGAAAGAGCAAAAAGAGAAGAGTCTGCTCCTCTGATTGAAGCTGCATATCAACAACGTTTAGTTGAAGAGCAGTTACTTCATGAACGTGAACAGACGGTATGTATTATGGTTACATTTTGTATTTAGTTTACCAACTAAATTTATCCATTATAATACTCTTGTCAGTTTTGTAAATATCAGTTTTCACTGTAAACTGCATCATTTCTCAATGTTGGCCATGGCCTGCAGTTTCTTCCTTTTACTTCTGCTAATTTTGGCCATTTAATGACTGCGTTATCATCCTTTTCTTTCTCCCTAAATTCATTTTTATTTTCTCTTTGCCTTGTATGCTAACCGTAATTCAATATTCTGCTTTGCAGCTGGAAGTTGAACTGAGCCAACAGCGCCATGAAGGAGATCTGAAGGAGAAGAATAGGCTATCACGGATGATGGACAATAAGGTGAGTTTGCATTTTTATCTGGCCTAACCGTGTTGGATTGCTCAGAAGAGTTACACTTCTGATCTTCATTTTTAACACAGGATACGTCTAGATTATATACACTGCCCTGAAAAATGTTCATGCTATTATTTTTGGGGAGAGAGAGAACAGATGCATGCACAATAATCAATTTTACTATCAACAAAATTATTCTGAGCTTTTTTCCTCTTTGTCAGACTATCTTCCAGGAAAGGGTCTTGCATCGTAGGCATGAAGAATACGAGAGGAGGAGGGCAGAGAGAGAGGAACAGATTAGCCAACTGATTTGGGCCAGGAAGCAAGAGAGGGATGCCAAGAGAAAGAAGATATTCTTTGTGCGGTCTGAAGAGGAGAGACTGAGGAAGCTTCGTGAAGAGGAGGAGGCGCGTAAGCGTGAAGGTAGCTGTCCTCCCTGACTTTTGACTAGTTGACTTTTTCTGATTTCTGCAGTTCTTCTAGTTGTTTCTCAGCTGATGAGGGAAACATTGTTGAGTAATTTTACTATCTATGATGGCTCTTGTGCTTGCTATGTCTTGTTATTTTTGTCTTCTGATGTGCGTCCATCATTTCTGTTTTGAACCATGCAGAAGCTGAGAGGAAAGGAAAAGAAGAAGCGGAGCGCAAGGCCAAACTGGATGAGATAGCTGAAAAGCAGAGGCAAAGAGAGAGGGAACTAGAAGAAAAAGAAAGGTTGAGGAAAGAAGCACTTTTTGGGAGACCAGCCGAGATTCCAAGGCCTGCTGAGCCACGCACGGAGCCTGCTAGTGCTCCTCCTGCTGTTGCACCTGCTCCTGGGAAATATGTACCCAGGCACCTTCGGCAAAGGGGAGCTGAGGCCCCTGGCCAGGCTCCTCCAGAGCCTGACCGAAGGGGAATCAGGCCAGAAGACCGCCCACCGCCTTCAAGTGATAGGTGGCGCAGTGACAGCGATGAGCGCAGACCTGCACTTGGTGGCGGTGGCCCAAGGTGGTCTTCGTCCAGGGGTCCAACCCGCTGATTATGTTGAGTTTTGGTCTCGTTTCTTGATACCTGGGCATTTTGATCTTGTTCAAGCTGGGAGTGTTCCGGGTGGACTAAGAAGGGTTATTTAAATTGAAGCAGTAGACATGCTAGAGCGGATATAACCTTTGCGTTTAGTTAAATTCTTTTTCGCTTGTTTATTTGCCATCTTACGAGTCTCTTCTCGCGCGAATGCTCCTTGTAATCTTGAAAGTTCAAACTTATTGTTCCCCCTGTGCATGTTTGGATTGTTACAAAGCTTGCTTCTCAGAGGTGTGGTTTTCCAATGCTTCTTTGTCGCCAACTTTTCAATCTTCGGAATATCCAAAAAGTAGAGAAGATGTTTGATTTTGAGTACGTTTGAAAGTACTTTTAAAATGATTGAATTGCGTATAAAGTAAATGATTTTGGGTTTCAAAAGCTGTTGAAGTGATTCCTGTAAGAAGCATCAGTTGAAGGAAGTATTTCAAGTGTTGTTTTTTTTTTAAATTCACTTGTATTTTTATTAAAAATTGGTTTTAAGAATATTATTAAAAACACTTTTTGTTATTTTAAAAATACTTTCAAACGAGCCATTTATTTTTATTTCTCCAAAATGTCCTACAAACAAAACCATGTGATAAGTTATACAATGCATACTACAAATGGAGCCAAAAAAAAAATCATTTTCTCCATAATTTGGTTGTTGGAAGGGTAAATTTATTATTCATGTTAACATGTACTAGTAAATTTTTTTTTTTTTAACAAACGATATTATTTACACGGGGATGAGAAGTGGGTTAAGCCTCATAATTGGCTGATAATAATGTGGTTCAAATTCACCGTAAGACCTCTCACTTACAAATGAAGAAGAATATCATTAGACCATAATAGTAACAACATGTACTAGTAAATTTGAATATATTGATTTTTACAAGCTATTTGCATCTCTTATATTGATTAGGAGCATTGACTCTACATTTTGAGTTTGATTTTGCCCTGTCAATATCACTTGTATGAAAAAACAAAAAAGACCTACTAATTTTGTGACGGGTTTGAGTGTGCTACTGTGTCTATAAAAAATTGCCAAATTATTTAATGAAAAGTTATGACGATGAAATAGGGTTTTTTGGTTTTTTTTTTGCTTGAGTTGAATTTAGAATTTCATACTTTTATCTATTTGAGCTACAAACTCTTTTGATTTTTAATTTTTTTTTTCAAAAGCAAAATTAGTTATTTATTTTTTTTTTTCATTAAGGATGCTCATTTAGCTCGCTTTTCTCTCTCTCTGACTCTCGCGCCTCCTCCTCCCAACACCTAAACCCTCCTTGAACCCTCCACGCTCCTTCCCAATTCGCATTTCCTGCACTGACTGACTGAGTTATGAGTTCAGTCGCTGCGCGATTCGCCAAGTTTATGCGAGTCTCCGTTCCTTCCTCGCCCACCTCCTCACTCGGTTCTCTCTTTCTCTCCCAAAACATTATTAGTTTGTATTTGTGCATATGATTCCTGAATGTGTTATTTGCAGTGCGCATTCTGATTTCTGATTTGGTATTTGCTTAAAGTTTTGATTTTTTTTTATGGGTTGTGTTCAAACCCCTTTTAAATGGACTATTTTTCCCAAATGCAAGTTTCTGCAAAATTTAATGATCTTGTTGGTTTATTTGCTGTATTATTTTCACTTTTGTATGTTTCCAGAGATGGGTTTAATCCAGAAAATCATTTTGAATAACTTGTTGCCTGGAATTCAGCATGATTACATGTTTTGTTGGTGAACAATTTCCTCGAATAGTGAAGAATGGGTGTTTTTAGGTTGATTATTTGGTGTATATGTTTATTTTTTACCATTTTTACAGCAGTGGGTGTGCAAAGAAGCTCAAAGTTGTGGTGCTCAAGCATCCCATCTGACTCTGACATTGGCAATGATGACACAAAGAACAATGGGGCGGAAGATGGTTTCGACGACTTTATTGGTGCGAAGAAAGATGTGAATTTGCAACCCCAAGGAGTTGATCCCAGGAGGGGCTGGGGATTTCGTGGTGTGCACAAGGTATTTCATATGCCATTTCAATGGAAAACAAAGACGTAACTGTTACTCATGTGTATGTAATCGAGTTTTCATGCGTGTGAGTGTGTGCATATAGATTTACTTACATGTTTACACATACAAGTCATCATGTCATAACTTGTAAAAGACTTTTAAGGTCTTACGGATGGAAAAAAAGGATATTTCATTGGGGATGCTAGGACACGAACAACATAAATAATCAAATTTTAATTTTTCTTTAGTTTATCAGTAATCAAAAAGTTGAGTAGGGATATGCTCTTTCATATGTTTAAGTGAGGCTCTGCTGAATTTATGTAGGCAATTATCTGTGGAAAAGTTGGGCAAGCCCCTGTGCAAAAGATCTTGAGGAATGGTCGAACTGTAACCATCTTCACGGTTGGGACGGGAGGCATGTTTGACCAAAGGGTAATGGGAGCAAAGGACTTGCCAAGACCTGCTCAATGGCATCGAATTGCTGTGCATAATGAAGCACTTGGGGCTTATGCGGTTAAACAATTGGTTAAGAAGTATGTGTCCATTTTTTAAAATGAATGAATGTCTATATATGTTGTGTCTCTAATGATTGGAGGTTTGCAGTGCATCAATCTATGTCGAGGGTGACATTGAAACTAGAGTTTACAATGACAGCATCAATGGCGAAGTGAAACATATTCCAGAGATATGCATTCGTCACGATGGTATAAATACCAGGATTTTCTTTTCCTTTTACTTTACTAAATTTATTTTTTTAGATTGGTTTTCTTTTTTCTGCAGTTCTTTTGGATAAACTTGTGTTCGTTCGTGTACTTTTGCATCAGTTATAAATGTATTCCAACATTATGTTGCAATGATAACTTGGGAGGATTTATCAATCTAACATTAGAATATTCTCGATGCCCGAAATTCATTGAATTAAAGCTTTCAATGAGGATGAATAAACATGAACACGAGGATTTGTATTTTTGACCATGTTCTGCATTGACAGAAAGTGCTGATATGGCAAATAAGAGTGAAAGGTTCAACTTCAATATTTAGTTTGATTCCGTAGATACTTGTAACCATCCCTCCAATCTTTAAAAATCAAGTATAGAAATAGAAAACATATTCATTTCATGTAGATGCTATATAATTCAAATGTTCTCCTTCCATAATGGCACTGTGAAATTTCTTATAGTGTGATATGATATCTTACAGGGAAGCTTCGTCTTATAAAGACTGGAGAAAGCGTCAGCAGTATATCCTTGGATGATCTGCGTAAGTTCCTTTACTTTATTTAACATTTAAACTGATGCCATGCCCAACTGGTAAATAGTAATCTCCTCCTGTGCTATCGTTTTGAGACTGCGGTTGGATACAAACATTACGTGTGTAATCATTGTTACTTCTGTGCTCCGCTGAAGTTTTTCAGACCAACCACCGCAGTCATTTGAGTTATACCATTCCATCTTTTGACATTTATATTTTGATCAATGTGCTCATTGGTTACTTGCAGGAGAAGATTTGCTTTAGCTAACGGAACAGTTGATTAGCGCATTAGGGAAAACTCCGCTTTGGAAACGGAACATAGCTCAAGCCACTTTTGTAGGAAATATGTTACATTTGCTAGTCTAGTCTGGTTGTAACCCGGCAAAGAGTAATCGATGGAGTTTTGTTCTTCTAATGTGTTGATATATCACTCAGTTTACTCCAGTGAATGAAGCCATTTATCCTTTCCTCTTGTTTGGAGAACGTAGCGTGCTTAACGAATGTAAAAACTATTTATGTTCTTAAATCCCACTAAATGAAGTCATTTACTGTTCCTCAACTATTTTAGGGGCCCGTTTTGAAATGCTTCTCTAAAAAGCGAAAAAACACTTATATTTTGCTTCAGCTAAACATTGTGAGAAGTGCTTTTGATGAATTGAAAGTGCTTGAAGTTATTTTAAAAGCACTTATAGACTGACCCTTATTGTTTTTACTGTAGGACTCAAAATTTGAAAAAACCACTTTGCTTTCTATATAAATTGCCCATCATTGTTCTGCTCATAACTCCATAGTTATACTTTATACAAGCGATTCAGAAGGTGGAAGAATTAAACGATTTTAGGTTAAGAGATAAACGTTTTTAATTACTTAAACAAAAAGTTCCTCGCACAAGTGTTTGCATTGAAAATTTAATTAACATAAGTAGTTTGTGGATGGTTTACGGGGTCAGGGTATAAACCACATTCTTTTAAATATAGATCGTACCATTGACTTGATCTCTTACAATATAGGATACAATTTTCCAATAGACTTTGCACAAGACAATCTTACAGGACAACACATGGCCGTCGACAACCAAGTATTTAGAGGAACGATTCCGCACATTTTTTCTTCTTCTGCATATGAATTTGATTATTTCTCAGAAGAGATCCTCTCTGGATCTCTTCCACCAAGGTCATGGATCAAGTGATCCGGAATTTTAAAATTTCATCCAATGGCCCACCTGTTTTGACCCCTTAAAAACTATAATAATTTTTTGCCGTTAGATGAAATTTCAAAGATCCGAATTAGTTGCCACTTTTGCTTTCTCTCTTGTTTCCTTTTCAAATTAGTTGCCACTTCTTGTTTGTTTCCTTTCCAAATTAGTTGCCACTTGTTATTTCCTTTCCAATGGGTGAAATAAGATAATTAGCTTCACCATTCATGGGAGAGATTTTTCAGTGTCCAAGAACACAAGCACATACGACAAATGTGGTTATACAAGTGTAGGGACATTTAAAAAGAAAAAATTTCCTCCACTTGTGTAATATAGTTTGTGAAATCACATAATCATCATTTGTAAAAAACAAAAACATTACGCTAACTAACTAGCCTAACTCACATATGCCGACTTTTACAACATGTTAATCACATAACTAAGTACATATATATATATATATATATTTTTTTTTTTTAAATTTCCGTATTAATAAACTAATCCTTCTTATGCTAAACCCTAAAAATAATATAGACGTTTAGTTTTCAGCATGTCATGCATCCTCTCTCTGCTGCATTCAGATATGGTTTTCAAACTTTCTGTGTTCATGCTCATCAGTCTTACAACCATCATCAAAACAGTCCACGTGTCAGCTCTTGGTGCTTGCCCTAAACGTGGCAACATGGAAGTTCCGTACCCTTTTGGTACAGACGACACGTGCGGGGGACTCGAGTTACAAACTCTACTGCAACAACAATGGAGAGTTCTCGAGTTCCAGTCAGCTGAAGGCTTCAGCTACAGGATCCTCAGCATTGACCTAGCTGCTCATAAAAACCACATGATCACGTACAGGATGACGACACGTGTCGCTCTACCGATTTCTCCTCAGAAGGTCCGAGACTCTTGATGAACAGTTGCCCTTCAACGTGTGTGCTCAGAACACTGTCACATATTGCTCAACTGCTGCGACGATCTTCTCCGATCGCTTCTCAACTGTTCCCCAAACAGCCTCTGTAGGGTTTGTGAGGAGAACATGTTGGACGGTAGGAATAGTGCATGCAAAAGCAGGCTCTGCCGCAGTTACTTTAAAGACTCACACATGACGTTGCATGTGATTAGGGTTAGGGTTAGGGTTAGAGGGTGCACTGCTTGTACAAGTCTTCCTCTTCCACCGACGGTGCTTCTCTTTTTGTAGCTTTTCGCAAGCACGACCAAAACCACGAAGGATCCATTTGTGGGAAAAAAACAATTGTACAGTTTTCGCAAGCTTGAACGATAATCAAGATGTTACAACCATTTAAAAGCAGGCTTACCATTTATCTGAGTCACATAAGTATTTTTTTAATCTAATTTTTATGTCGAAATAAAGAAATTAATAAAAAAGTTCAAGGTCGGAATATCTTTTAGTCAGTTTTTTATTTTTTGCACAAACAATATCACCAACATTAAGACCATCTCCAACTTTTATGTTAAAACTTAAACCTTTTAACCTAGAAAATTTAGGTTTTAATTCAAAAACAGTTTTTCTACTCTAACATTTTTGAGTTAAATTTTTAGCCTAAAATTATTAAGAATGAATTTTGGATAATTTTTTTTCTTAAAGTAACTTTTTTCAAAAATAATAAATTTTATGTCTGAGTATCCTAATTTAATTTTATGAATATTTTAACTTAAAAATATTTATATTTTGATAAATATTAAAAAATCACTAAACGACATCATAAAACTCATGGGAAAATTATGAAAAAAAATATGAAATACATGAAAGAATTTTTTTTTATTTACTTTAGCTGTTGGATTTAAATTTGAATCGTTAGATTTTTTTTTTTACCATTGGACTTGATCATATTAAATCTTAGCCGTTGAATTCAATGAATTTATAAATATATAAAACTATAAAAAAATACACATATATAGTAAACCAACCCACTAACCAGCGAGAAATCTTGGCCTAAATTTACAAAAATGGTTTTTGGTTAAAACTCATATTTGCCCCAAAAGTTGGAGCAAGTTAGAATGGGTTTAGAACCTAAAAATTGAGTTTTATTCCAACGATTGAAATAGGTTTAAAGGGATGAGAAAGTGAGCTAAACCTCACAATTAAGTAGTCATCATAATGTGGTTCAAATTCATCTTTGGCGATAATCGAACATAATACCTCACAAGTGAAAAGGAATACCACTAGACCATAGTACTAAGTGGCAGTTTTTCATTAGTTTTAACATCTCACAATGTCCAGTACAAACAATTGTGGTGCTTAAATCTTACTCTTGTATTTCAAAACAGCAACTAAACGAGAAAAGCTTGTATAGACCGTATCCATTTCATACAAGACCGTATCCATTTCATGCAAGTTGTTCTTCATTTAGGCACATTTGGAGTAAAACAAAATCAGGCAACTAAAGGCAGCTCGTTACATGAAAAAAAACAGTAAATTGACAAGATCTAACCAGCATTTGTAGGCAACTGCAAACAAGTGCTAAAAAAAATTGGCTATCGATTATATATTCATTTGTTGTAACACAGTAAGTAGAGGGAACAACAATGAGTTAGGTTCGTTCTAACACAACAATTACTCAAACCTTCAATTTACTTACAAATTAAAGCTGATAGCGATAACACTTCAACCCTTTGTCAGTCAGTCAAACAGCCGAGCACAAACCAGAATCGCCACAAAGTTTCGACACACTGCAAAAAGGATATCTCAACTTCATTTCTTACACACATCTATAAATAGTCACCACCTGAAAAACGAAAACCAAGCATATGCTCACACTGCCAGATTAAAAAAAATTACAATTTAGTGAACGTAATCGGGTAAATTACTACAAGACCACTGTGGGTCTTGTCAGTCTTTTTCCTTCCATGGCGTCTTTCTTGTTCTGACACTTTGCGCAGAGGAAGGGGCCTTCCCATGGCTTTGATGCCGGGGAGAAGAAAGGCGCAGAGTTTACTGATAAACCTTCAACTTGGGGCTGATCCACTTGGCAGACTGCGCAACGGAAAATCCCCGAATTAGCATTCAGAGGAGAATCCTTACCCAACCTGTATTTCAGTCAAGAAACGAAAGAAATTAGGGCTGCATTCAAACTAGAAATACAGCATAATAATTAGCAGTTAGATAATAAACCATGCTGAACTGACCTTTCATCGAGCATTGCTGAACCTTCTTCAAACAACTCCTCCACAACTCCGATAGCAGAAAGTTTATTTGTCTTGTTCATGGAGTTCTGATTTTTCTTCCCAAAGATAAGCGAAGCAAGCATGTTTGGTTTCTTAATTGGTGGTGGAGGCAAGACAGTATGGCCTGAAGGGATTATGTCAACAACTACGCAGGTTGTATCATCTTTCAGTCCCCTTGACCTCAGAGCCTCCTAAAACAGAACAAAGAAAATCGGGACTAGATCAGTAAAAACAGGCTTAATTCTCTTGAGCTGTACATAATGTTTGTATTTAAGGAGCATCACCTTAACGACCAGCTTTGCAGCAAGCTCTGCAGGCAATCCTCGACATGACTTGGCAGCCATATCAGATGACAAAGCATCCCAGATGCCATCAGAAGCTATTATAAGTCTTCCCCCAGCATTTGAAAGCTGCATAACCAGGGAAAAAAGTTGCTGAGAATTAAAATTTTGTAAAAGCATAGTAAAAAAGAACCATTGTCAATAGTACAAGATGAAGTCACCTTCACTTGCTTGACATGGGGTATTGGGACAATGTATTCTCCCACATCTGTGTCGCCAATTGACCTAGAAAGGCATAATCCACCAGGCCAACAGCGAAGGGGACCAACCTGAACCATGTAAACATAAGAAATTTAGACCATAAAAAAAAATGGTTCATTGAAATGCCTTTCAGTTTACAAGTAAAAAGGGTGAACAAAATAAACTAGGATATACCTCATTGCCCCCAAAAATATTGAGCCTTCCTACTTCACCTCCACTGGCAGTAACACGCTCCCTCTCTTCTTCATTTTCTTCCAGCCTGTGATCAACAGTTAAGAGTGAAACAACACCTCCCTGGGTGTCTAATATACATCGTGAATCCCCAACAGATGCAACAGTCACAGTCCAATCATCAATCACAACAAAAGTCACAGTTGTACCAGAAGTTTCCCCTGAGGTTGAAATTAAATCAGAAAGCTAAGAAAAACAAAATCAAGCAAATCAAATAAATAATTACTGGAAATCAAATGGCTTGATGTTATACCTTTCTGTTGAAATTCTATATCAGTTTTGACAAATCCTGCAACCAGCGCCCGAGGAAGGGCTTGCAGCCATTCATCCCTACTGGTTCCTTGAGGAATGGCACTCAAAACATTAGCCAATAAATTCTCCTTGGTAAAAATAGCAGCTGATATACCATTATGCCCATCAAAAATCTGCAGACAAATAATTTCAAATTTGTATCAGAAAGAGTGAGGGAATGAAGTGATGCTCTATTGGTGCTGACAAATGTAGAAGAAGAAAAGTTACTACACAGTGATTGCTCATTTATCACACCGTTTCAAACCTGAGAACAACAATGTTCCACTTTACCGGACACAAATGCAACTATCAAATTCACTCAAGGTGACTTTTCACTTTAAATGATTCAAATTCTTTTCCTTTTCCTCAGTTTTCAGCAGCCAAACAGAGATCAATTGTCCTTCATATATGTACAAAGACAGAAAATAGAGGGGGAAAGTACCGCAAAGACAGAAAATGATGTTGACGGATCCGAATGAATTCTTTGGCAATCGGTTTTTATAAGAAAGTAATCTTCTCCTTTCTTCGCCAAACCAGCCTGCCCATACTTCAAATAAGGTTTCTCAACTTTCTCACCCCTAAGCTCACGACCAATCAGAGTCGCAAGTGGAGTGAGAGGAGATTTCATCGCCGATACTTCAATCTGGCTCATTTTAGTGTCCGTTGGGACATTTCCAAGACCCAAGTGCCAAAACCCTATTCATCCAAACGATTAAACAAAATCCTGTCAGAACTTCATTGCAAACGTGTACATCTAAATGTACTAAATCACCTCGTACGTCCATCAACTGGCTTAAATGATTCACATATCAAAGTTAAAAATGATAACTAGATAACGGAGCATATGCCACTAAATTTTTACACATTAGAAGCTTTCGCTACGCCTACAGAATCTAAAACCATCCCCGGAAACTGACCCAATGCTTCTATGCACATATTTCATAAAACCGGTAAGCTACAAACGAAACAGAGCTAGATACAATTTCTAATGGAAAACAAAAACCAACAGAATTCATACCGAAAGAAGAAAAAGAAAAAATTGTTCTTGCTAGTATATTTTATAAATTTAGTACCTTTTCCTCGAAACAACAACCGATCAGAAGCCATTTTACACCAACAAAATGAGAAAATTATATCAAGTAAAAGCAATTTACAAAAACCCCCACCTAGCAATAACAAAATTTAACTTTCATAAATAGTAAAGGGCGAATTCAAATAAAACACTTCACAAAATATGCAAAAATAGTCCCTTTAGACCCCGAAATCCATCGAAAGATCACAGTAAAGCAATCTACTGAATCCTCAAGAAGTAAAATTGAGCTAACCACGAACTATACGAATCATAAATATTGCAAAATTAAAAACCGGGGAAATTCAGAAATAGCCAAAAAAATGGAAAAATCAGAGGGATTTATCGGGGTACCTTCGAATGCAGAGCAAAAACACTGACAGTCAGAGACGGATCGAGCAGGGAGGATCCGACATTGAAGCCCATCTACAAGTCCTCCATTGGAATCGAGCTCGCACTGGTTCGAGAACAAACCCTAGGAGAGAGAAAGCGTCGCACCTTTTCCGTGATTTGATTGGAAGACAGCTTAGAGAGAGAGAGAGAGAGAGAGAGAGAGAGGGGGTGGGATTTTTGGGAGAAAACTGTGTTGTATGAGATTTATGTCCGAATTCTCCGGCGAGAGAATTGCAAATTGGTAGGGGTGAAATGACGGAAGTGACCTCTGATGGAGTGGGTTTGGTTGACAGTTGGGTCCCTTTGACTAACGCAGCTGGATGTGGTTGCCTGCATGATCCACCGGCTGGTGGGGACTTGGGAAGCCACATTGTTCGTATCGTATCTTTTTTGTTTTTTTATTTCGACGTAATATTTACGTTTGTTGCCAACCTCCATTTGTGAACCACGTATATTGATTAGATCAAATAAACGATCAAAATAGTTCAATTTGTTAATTTTTAGGCGAATATCAAGTCAACAAATGTATCAAATAAATAGACGGTTCATCATGAATATATTATTTGATATCTGCAACTCGGGCGGGTTGAATGGTCAACCCAACCCTGATTCATTCTTTACAATTCAGGTTTGAGTTGGGTTTGGGTTCAAGCGGATTTAGTCAAGTTCATATTTTAATTGGATTCAGATTTTATTACACCTTGTTTTCCTTGATTTTCACATTTTGAGCGAAACAACGTCAATTGTAGTTAGATTTTCATTTACACATCATCATCCACACAAAAGTTAAAACAAACAATTTTTAATGTTTCAACCATGCAAATTTGAAATTGGATTACAAGACCTACACAGAGATTCAATAAAAAAAATGTAATAGTAACACTATCATTCATTCATATTCATATGAAGACAAACTATAAAGAAGTATAGTCATTCCAAGACTTATTCATAACTTATATAATATGAAGTGCGATGGTAATATGTGTATGAGCGAATTAGAGCTCAAAATTGGATTGTGTTTCAGTTGACATGGGCGGGCAAAAACATCATGTCAACCCAACCCAATAAATGATCTGGTTGAGGTCGGGTTGGGTTTGGGCGGGTCTTTTCTTCATACTAACCTACCCGATCGGATTTGAAAACAAGTTGGACATGGACGGATTCTGGTTGACCCAACCCAAGTTGCACCCCTACCTACCCTGTCTAGTTATTATATACATTCAAATGACTAAATGATCTCCGATTATAAGTAATTGAATGATTCCAATTATGAAATTTATGGTCAGAATACGTTATTTGTAAGGATGGAATGAGCTCATCCCCCAAGGGGGAAATGCAAGTATTAACCAACGTCAAATGTAGTTTACATTAATTAATTGGGTTAAGATTTAACTGTTGCAAAGACTTATTAAATCCCTACATGCAATATTTAATCGTTAACTTTTCGGACCATGTACTTGTACGTAGTATAGAAGTACAAGTGCAATTAATCAGGGGCACTGTGCTCATCTCTTAGGTCTCGAGTTTGAATTCTCTATTTTCTACTTCATTTGTTTATATCTTAGGGTTAATTTATTTCTAATTAGATGACAATATAATTTAAGAAAAAATTAGTATCCGGTTCCTAGTTCTTACTGTTCATTAACTAAGACCTTATTAGTTCTCAAATTTTGATTCAAGTCCCTAGCATTAATGTGATAATGAATTTACATGTTTATTATATATTTTTTTAATATAAAAATTAGTAATTAATTTAGGGTTTAATACTCACACCTCTATTAAACTTCTAATTAATTTTCAATTCAAACATTTCCAAAATAATAAAAATTAAATTAAGTTTGTACCTATTAGTTTATATATATATATATATATATATATATATAAAGATTCTCAATTTTTTAATCTTAAATGTACCCATTCATATAATTTTTCAATTTTTTTAATCTTAAATGTACCCATTCTCAAATATATCAATTTGTTATATGTAAAATGTACCATTTTTTTAATATAAAATCCATTCAAAATTTTTAATCTATGTTTAAACTTATATGGGTACATTCTTTTTCGTTGATTTGAGAATGTATCCATGTTTTGGTACAGTAACTTTTTTTGTTAATTTTGGTTAATGTACCCATACATATATGTACACACACACATACAATATAATAGAGAGTATAATTTTATTTTATTATTTTTAATCCCATAAATTATGGGTTTTATTTAAAATCTCATTAATATAAACAATTACAAATTTCAATTTTTAATTTTTAATTTAAAAAATATAGTAACTTATATTATTACATTAATGTCAGAGACCTCAATGAAAAATTAAAAACTAACAAGGTTGCAATCAAAGAATATTTATAGTTAGGGACCGCATCCAAAGTGTCTCATAATTTAATGTAGCACCCAATTGCGTGAACAGTATAGTTTCAAACTTGAGATCTCTTGTTGAAGAGGTAATTTGAATTGTAAGCGCCTTGCTCCAGTCAACCCTAATTTGAAAATCGTAGAGTATTGTACCAATATTTTTATGTGAGATCTCTTGTTTAACAACCCTAACTTGGCAGCCACGCACCAACTCCAATTTCACCAAAAACAAACCCTCCTCCCTTGTTCCGTCACAAAACATGTGACGGAACTTTTTCACCTTGCAAGCAAGAAAGACTCCGACTTCATTTAATGAGATAAGACTTTGTTGTTGTTGTTATATCGGAATGATCGCCAAACTGTAGTTAATTTTGTGTGTACCATACTTGATCAATCCTGAAACTACTGAGCATCGGTCAACGTTATACCGTCAAGGACCCAGAAAAGTTTCCCTCCAACCAGGAGGCCAATCACAGCGCGACACGTGTCGACATCAGAAGCCAATCACAACACGACACGTGTCAATGTCAAAATGAAACTAGAAACTCTCTTCTATAAATAGAGATCATTCTCTTACAATATTTCCTAATGGCATTTGTACTAAATCATTCACTAGTACTCATAAAAGGAGAGCTTGAACCTATGTATTTGTGTAAACCCTTCACAATTAATGAGAACTCCTCTACTCCATGGACGTAGCCAATCTGGGTGAACCACATACATCTTGTGTTTGTTTCCCTGTCTCTATCCATTTACATACTTATTCACGCTAGTGACCGGAGCAATCTAGCGAAGGTCACAAACTTAACATTTTTTGTTGTACCAAAGTTCTCACTGATTTTGTGCATCAACAAATTTCATGTTCCCAGTATATTTCTCCAGTCAAGGTTGATAAAATGTGTACTTAGCAGTTAATTAATTAGTAGGAACTGAATTCTGATGAAATGATGATACTTATAAATCCGCTTAATTACGACATTGATTTGTTTATGTTAATTGATAACGTGGATAATCTTGCATGAACTGGATATTTCAAGATCTTTGTGAAAGGAACAAGTAACTTGCGTTTTTTGTTGGGATTATCAAACTAGTATGATTTTAACCGTGCACGAAAGGCTTGTAGCTCAAGTTGTTTATAACGGTTACCATGCATCCAAGATTTATGTTCAGTTTTCCTCCTCCCCTACCCAGTATTGTTTGTATCGAAAAGAAAAATATAGACTCGCTTCAATCCCGAGGGCAAACTGTAATATCAACACTCATATAAAATAAACTTTGATGGAACGGGGTGCTCGACAACTTACATCTCATGACCACCACCGGAGAAACTCAGGCAACCAGAATTATTGCCTATAGAAAACCTCTCTCTCTCTCTCTCTCTCTCTCTCTCTCTCTCTCTCTCTCTCTCTCTAGGTATATGTGAACACACAAAAATGACCCCGAAAAAACAAAAAAAAGAATCATACAGCCAACTTCCCTCAAAACACAATAAAAAAAGCAACCTCGTCGTCGGTATCACTTTGCACTCCCAGGCCTTCGTTTCCCTTCACCGGACCTTCCACTTAAGGTCCTGTGCAGAGGCTGACTAACTCCATTGGGTGGTTTCCGTGATGGCGAAGGAATAAACGATGGAATCATACTCCTGGTGACAAAGCAGATAAGTTGAAACATCTTATTAGAACATGTCAAGGTACATAAGATATTTTGCATAGGAAACAATATGCTGATAATGCAGCTCAAAGAAAACGATATAAACTTATAGCAGTCGGAGTTTACCTAGTTTCCGGGCTCCTTATTGGCCTCGAATTAGTTTTCTTTGCTTTTGCCCTCAGACCGTTTGGAATGCTGGTAGGTTTCGGAAGGTTTTGCTGCCAAAGCATGTCTGGCTCTGAACAATCACTTGTTGCAGCATCAAGCTGATCATCAGAATCATCGGTATTGGCCATCTCATTCCGACTCCTTTGTACATCATAGTCTTGGCTGTCCTCTTTGCTCGCCGTTAATTTTCCAAAGTGTTGTTCCATGTACAACTTCGGAGGGTCAGGAAGGCTACTCGGTCCAAACATCTCCGGCAACTGTCTATTGTCCATATCCCAACTTCCTAATAGATTCTCTTCTCTATTTGCACCTTCATGTTTGTTCACCATGACCTTATCAACCCAATCTCCAGAAAGTACTGAATCCTTATCGGATTCCTCCTTTGAATTTAGTCCTTGATTACAAGCAGGTGGCCAGGGAGGCGAACGTGCATGCATCATCATATCTTGAGGATCTAAACTTCGCCTTTTTGGCTTCAATGCAGTGTTTTTGCGAACCTAGTGCAATTAGATGAACCTCCAGTGTTAGATTCATCAACTAAAAAGGATAAAATAAAGTTTTCAGCTTATCAATTTAATACTTAGCCAATACCTCTATGTTTCCAAAATCATCTGCTGTTTGCCTGCGAGCCCCGGCCAAATCTCCAGTGCTTTTCCGATTAAAATGCAAAGGGGAAGACCCAGCAGACTTGATTCTAGATCTTTCTGGGCTCATGGATTGAGAATATTTAAGTTGCGCTTGCGCTCCCTCGCTTTCCTTCCTTGCTAAGGCTGCCTTAAGTGTAGCAATCTGGATAAGACAGTAAGAAAAATTGGTGAACAAGAGGTTATTGTACATTATAATTGGATATAATTGTAGAAGCCATAGATTAACCACCTGTTCTTTGAGTTCTTTTACATCTGCACCGTCTTTGTTAACTCGAGCAGCACCAAGTTCAACTGTGGAAACTCTTTCTGCAAATTTGAGTGTACTAAGTGTTTCTCCGAGAGCGTCAGGCTCAGGGCTGATATGAACAAACATGAGCGTCTTTGCTTGCCCTCCTGACACAATTGAGGATGGATCAAATGATTACAATGGAGACCAACAAAAAATCAGAAAAATGCCTCTGTGTGCTCAAGTTTATTAAACAATCTTACCGAGTGAGTCTTGGAGTAGTTGTGTAAGTTTACTGTTTCTGTAAGGAACGTGTGCGTTCTTTTGAGCAAGAGAGGCAATGACATCTCCTAAAGCTGAGAGAGATTTGTTAATATGTTGTGCCTCCTTTAACCTGTCTCCCGTCACCTCAGATTTGTCAACTCTCTCACTTCCTGCCAAGTCAACTAGATGCATACAACCCCGAAGAATACTTCCTGACGTCAGGTCTCTTCCGTGAATATGTACTGTCAAGCAACTGTTTATGATGTCACAGGAGTTAGTTTAGACGGATTCATGGTCACTTCAGAACTTTACTCTTAGTGTGAAACGAGAAGGGATCAACTCACAATTTATCTAAGAGGACATTATTAATCTTACCTGTGCGACCTACTACTCCTGTCATTCATGGCTGTGGCACTCACTGAACGATTCTTATGCCCAAGGTTCATCAAATATATAACATCAGAAGTCGATGATACGGGAACAAGGTTCGCCTCAGGTACATTAATTCCGTTTTGAGAGCTGTTGCGAATTTCTAATGTATGTTGGAGTTAAGGACACAGAGAATTATGATATGCATTGTAAAGAAAACAATAGTAAACGAAAAATAATGAGTGTCATGACTCATGAAGGATATCGTTTGCTAGAACCCTCCACCGCAAGGAGATCCTTGACTTGCTCATTGTAAATTTCAAGCATCTGAACAGAAATTTCGTAACAAATGGTGTCCTTTCTCTGTTCTGATAGATAAAATAAATCACTGAGTGCTCTGTAATTTACACCTCGACTTTCCTCTGTAATCTCCTTCGGTCCAGTCTACATAGGTGAACAACATGAATTTATAACTTGTAAGGAGTCAGTTGGCCAAAGAATGAAGATTATATGATGAAACATCTATGCACATATTTTACCATTGTAAAAGTTTTCCCTGATCCCGTTTGGCCATAAGCAAATATACAGACATTGTAACCATCGAGAACAGACCGAATCAGAGGCTGCGTATCTGAAAACACCTCCTCTGCAGAGAAAGAAAAGTGGCAGTGAAAAATGCTGACAAATATGATAGATTAGGAACGAAACCATATTGAGAGTAGCTAACCTTGGGTTGAAAAGGGACCAAAAACTTTGTTGAAAGTGAAAGATTTCCTTCCCTCTTTGCCATATTTGGAGGGAGTGATAATTTTAAGACTTCTGTCATCTATGTGATCATAAGTACTGGCCCGATTTGGTTGCCCAGGCAAGAAGGGCCGCACTCGACAGTATACCCTTATATTTCCTAACCAAAGTAATTGATGGACCAATTAATCTTGTAGACACGTACAAAACACAAACTGTTTCTTAAACATAGAACTCGAGACCATTAAAGGAAGACCAGAAACACTACCTTTCAAATCCTGCACTTGATTGTATAACTTGCGATTTTCTTCAAGAACCTTCTGATATCCTGTCGCTGCAGAAGCCAAACCATGGAGGTGCTTGCCTACATGCATGGTAAACTAGTTATGGTCCTCCGTTGAGAACGTGAAACAACGTTAAAGTATTCGACAAAACGTGAGCTAAGTGAGCCTTATTAAAAGCATATCATATCGTTTTTCATTTGAAGTCCTACCTAGGTTGTTGAACTCCTGCTGGTACCTCATTTGTAGAAGCTTCATTCCTGCTTTTGTATCGTATAGAGTATGTTTCAATTCCTACAGAATAAAGATTAACATAAGTTTCGCCAGTATCTTAGGGCAGATAAACAAAATTTTGTAGCTGCTAATATGATGTGACCGTAGTTTACCTGGATGTCTTTCTGTTGTCGATCAACCAACGTTATCTGCTTTAAAGACTGACTTTTCGATACCTCGCTTTGGTTGTATATTTCCTCCTCTTTGGTTTCAGAGGAAGCTTTCTCTTCAATCTTAATCATCCATCAATGGCAGCAAAATGTCACCCATTGTGCTAATGATAAAAGATACAAACAAAACCGAGACACGTGCACAAGGATATCATAACGACACAAACTTGCCACTTCTATTGAATCTAAAACTTGTACCTTCATATCACCAGAAGCACATTCAGAGGCACAGTCCGAAAGAGGTCTATCAGGGCCGGACAACGTCATATCTCTGGAAGCTGTTTTCATCTGTCATAAAGAATTCAATCATCCCACATATAACATACTTTCTCGAAAGGAGGCAATGAGCTTTCTTTGGGAGAAAAGCAATGCACATAGGAAAAAGCAAGGCAATGTTGAAGAAATGCTGCTGCTTAGTGCTTACCAGTTCGCCTTGGCTTGCTAACCGATGCTCAAACTCCTCCATGACTTTACTCAGCATATTTTCCACAATCTGTTAAAAGCAACAGGAAATTGTTTCTCTAAGTTATACATATATGCATATATATAAACAGGTGCTCGGGCTGAACGAGTAGATAATCAACATAAAAGGTAGAAGAACCCTTACGATTGGTATGTCTTCCTGCCTCTTGTCTGAAAGCAGTTCACGGACTAGCACATGTAAAGAATGAGAGGAACTCTGAAGAGCAGAAAGCAAAACAATTACTTTCCTGCAATATTATGAGTGCAAAATAAAAACTGAGAAACACCTGATCTCACTTACTGCTTCATTGAGATCTTCACTGGACAAACTATCGTGGGACTTTTCGCCCCATGATAAGGTCATTGGAAAGGAATTTGAAAAGGGTTCTGAATTTTTTCGCACGAAGTATTTCCCGCAGGTAGTTGGTTTCAAAGCTCCACAATATTTCCACGATCCAATTGCACCTCCTTGTTTCCACTCAGAGTATGATTTCAATGCTAGAACGCAGTTCACAATCCTTGCGGATTTCCCTCCCTGTAATTTCAGAATGTGAAAAACTGCCACAGCCGAACAACAAATAAACAAAGTACCAATGCATTTCTTCCTAAATCATAAGGATTCATCAAAACACAATTGTTTTCGGAGTACATTTCCTGAGCACAAACCTGTTCCAAATCCGAGGCTTCAAAGGTTGGAAGCCCCATTTCCTCAACAGACACAAGGAAGTTCCTGACATTTTCGAAGTACTGATACGCTGACAAAGCCGCCCCATCGGGAATAATAACGGAGTCACAAGGGCCTTCAACTACCTAAGAACAAATCGCCAGTTAACATTAGCAAAACCAGTCAATAAACAAAAAGGGCTTGAACCAATGCAAACTGGAAACCAAGTTGGGCCATTACCTTCGGCACAGCTCCGGGTTGAACTTTGTTGAGAACATTGCAGAGGATTATTCCACTGCGCAATCCGAGGCGGAAATCCTCTTCCGAAGGCTCAGCCGGCAAATCTTTACCCCCAACGACGCCAACGGTCTTTCTTAGCCACCTTGCTGCTTCATACCTTCTCAACGCTGCACAATAACACGGCAACATTCATAGGATCAGAAGACTTTCTTGGCCACCTCAAGAAATGCAAGAACCAATCAATTGAAAAAATTAATCTGAATTGAAAGATCAAAAATAAATAAAGGAAAGATGATTACATGCTTCCTCGGCCTTCCTAGAAGCCAAGTCGATATCGTTTAAACGACTCCCATGCTTCTGAAGAACGCATTCAACCACAGAAGCTATGGAGAACGGCAAGACTTGCTCCGTCGCCATTTACCGCCAAAAAAAACCCAGAAAAAAAAAACACCAAAAATCTGGGCGTTAAAATTCAACTCCTACCCGTTAATCCAACTTGCTCAAACTACCCAAATCACAATTCATAAGCCAAAATCGTAATGGGAATTCCGGCAAGTTCGAATCTTTTTCTTTGGAAAAATGTGAAGTTTATGAAAAATTTTCCGGAAATCTCTGAGGGAGAAAGTGAAATTAGAAATGGGAGGAAACTTGGATGTGAAGATAGCAAAAAGATAAAAAATTTGGAAAGTGAAGAGAGAGAAGATTTTTAGGTTCGGATGATTTGATTCTCTCTCTCTCTCTCTCTCTCTCAGGCTTTCTCTCTCTATCTTTCTCTGGTTAGACTAGTTTTAGCTTGTTTCCCTTCTCTCTCCGTTTCTGGGTTTGTCAAATATAGAAGGAAAAATACTACACCGAACCTGGTTCCGAGCCTCTCGGGAAAGCTTGGCTCTAACGGTTTGTATTTAACGGATCCTTTTGTCTCTAAAATTAACATTTTCCTTGTTACTTTGTTATTTCATTTTAGGTTGTGAGAGATGAAAGAATAACTTTTGTCACATGACGTTTTGTGCTAATGGAATAAAAATATGTGAACAAAAAGTTACATATGTCTTTATTTCTTTGAGCAGGACGCTACCATGACAGTATACATGTGCTATATAAGTCATTATCATTGGAGGGATTCTTTTTTCTTGGAAGTGAATTAAAGGGGCATTTCTTCAATTTTGTGGTCACATAAAACCTAATTTGACTCTTGCCCTTCTCTTTGGCCAATTGGACTGGTTGGATTAACAAACTTGTCTTTTGCCTTTGTTTCTCACTTTTTGGTTAAAAAAGAAGGGTGTGGCTTTATGTAAGGTAGATTGATGAGAAAGTTTTTAATATCGTCATGCTATTACAAATTCACATGTTATATTATAGTGTATAATACTACTTATATATTATAAATATAATATATAATATTAACAACTAAATATACATGTTATAACGATTGATGTCTATAAAATTACTCTCAAATACAAGCAAAATAAAGAAGTCAAAACCTTTTATGTTCAAATAGTAATATAATATTCAACACATTTCTTAGAAAAGTCAATATCTTCTCAAATGACTTAGTCATCTAATTGACGTTATGTTAATTGATTGAAATGATTAGAGAAATTAATAATTCAAAAAATAAATAAGTTATTAAATTATTAAGAGTTAGGATATGATCATTAGGACCATTCTACTTGCCCAAAAATTGAGAACTTGGCCTTTTTAGATATATTACTTGATTTGAACTTAATATTATTCAGTAGTTCTCATGCAATTAATCAAACCCTTCATAAAGCACTTTAATTTAATTAAAAACCATATAAACTAATTCAAAATTAAGAAAAACAAAATATAAATATAAATTTCAACTAATGAAAAGGAAATTGAAAGAGGAAGAACACCAGCCTCCAGCTGCATGCACTACCCTATCTTCTTTGCCCCTCTTCCACTTGTCAATGAAAGATGATTGGGGACCCATTTGAATAGCACATGATATATGTGCACCACTTCATGATTTAGGCCATTTGTAGTCACATTAAAAAAAAATCATTTGTATTAGAAGCTTATATACTAATACCTTTAAACTTTGCTAATAATATTTTTCTCTTTTGGGTTCACTTATTTTGAATGTTTTATGGTAAAGTTGCATAGTCCAAGATTCTTCTAGGCTTTGTGAGTGTGGTGGGGTGGGATAAGGTGAAGATGCACATGATCTCAAAGTTTTTTTTTTCTTTTACATTTTTACACTAGGAGAAGGAGGAGTGCGGCTAAACTACACAATGGACAACCTAATTAGAGCCTCCACCTCAATCGAGATCTCCCATCCACCCAAGGTTGTTTCCTTTAATTTGGGGATAGATATGCGACTTTGGGTTGATTTCTCAGTTGTTGGTGGGTTAAATTCATTTCCAACGACTTGATTTCCATAGTGGTGTTGCTTTTCTTGAGATTTGTGGTAGCGTCGCCTTACCTAGCCAGATCTATTGTGGCTCTGCTTGCGGTAGCAGCGGATCTCATAGTTATGAAGTCATAGGTGGTGATGAACTAACTAGTGGAGTGAATCAACCGGTGGATTTTGTTCTTGGGTTAGTGTAGGTTTAGTGCAACTTTTGTTTGTACGGCGTCTAGCAAGTGATGTCTTGCCTAACGAGTGATGTGGCCTTCCTGTTAGTGATGGTTTGATGTGGACTCGCTTCTTGGTGATGATATTGCCTATGCTCTGATATAGGTCTATTGTGTCTGTCATTTTTATGGCAGATCTACCAGCAATGCTTATGCTATTTTCAACGTTGCATATGCTTGTGGTAGTCATTTATAGGATTATTGTTTATATATGAGTTGTGCGAATTATCTCCATATCAATGAATTGATTATTGAAGAACGTATCAACATGGAAACCCTTGTCATTATTATTGTTTATCAATGAAAATTGCTATTGCTTCTTGTTAAAAAAAAAAAAAAAATCACGATCCAACCTCCATTTGCATGAAATGACCTCAAAAATAATAAATTAAATTCAACATTCGCAATGATAAAGTAATTATTATGAGCATCATGGAAAATAAGGGAAAAAAGAAGACACATTTTTAGTTGTTCTAGCAGTATTCAGTTTTTACATGGTTAGAGAATGTTTTAAAGTTTAGTTGACACGAATGCAAGATGACAATATTTATTAATAAATTTATTATGAGTTCGATATCATATTGTTTTTTTGTAAGTAATAAATAAATAAAAAACTTAAAAAGAAAAAGAATATTGTTGTTAATTCAAGGCTAGCCTTAATTCAACTCCCGTTCCGTCTTCCAACGGTTGAATTATTCAAATTTACCCGGTTAGGAATACGAGCCTAAACAGGTTCGGCGCCAATTTTAAATGTTCGTTAGTCGGAGATTCGACAAAAGCCGTTGTGGGGCCCGAAAGTTAGAGGTCCACACGGGTAGGACCCAAAGCACCACGCCGGCTTTGTAATATTAGTTAAGGACATCAGGCTGCCGGCCCAAGCCCAACAATCACAACAAATGGGCTCCACAGGCCCCGCTAAAGACCCGCCCAATAAAAACATGACAACAAATCACATCATAAAGTTTATAGAGTTAATTATAAATTTGTTCCCTTAATTTTAGTGGTTGTTCCACTTTGGTCCTTGTACTTGCTTTCGTTATATTGTTCCTTAAACTTTTGAATGTGTCAAACAAGGACAGTAGTGTTGAATATATTGACATAGAAACCTTAAAAAAAAAAAGGGCTAGAAGAAGAGAGGACTAGCGTTATAGGGCCGATAAAGTGTTTTATGACCAGTTTAACATCGAAACAACCACTCAAATAGCTACACATCTAACAAAATTATTAGACCACATTATTCAATGAGGTCGATTTTATTGAACTTTTTGAAATTGAAAACTAGAAGTAAGTGGTTATGTGTTAGTAGATTGTGAGCATTTTCAGCAAAGTAGATGAGTTACTAAAATGCACTAAAAAATGTAGTCACGTGTCATTGTGCCAATTTTTTTTAAACAGAGGCTACCGTTTATCCTTAATAATTTTATCCTTGATAAACACACTTTTAAAAGTTTAGGGACCAATTTGGAACGAAGCGACATACACATGGTCGAGTAGTTGAGCTATAATTATTAATATCAAATTCAAATGTGAGTAACCTCTTAGAGATAGAGCCTAGAGGCATGTCCCTCCCTAGCACATGTTTAGTTTGCAAATAGACTATGCATACTTTTGAATTTGACCAAAGAGAGAGACCCTCCATTTCCAAACAAGTCAGTCATTGTCTAAAGTTAACTTTGTAGGACACTTATTGAATTAACTAGAATCTCTACACTCAAGGGACACATCTTAATGGATTTCATAATATTTTGTGAATCTTGATGCAGTAATGTCTTCTTTTTTCTTAATGTCATTGTTGTTTTGCATGATCAGGAGTTACTTTTACAAATGATGAACTAATCGTCGATCGTTGTCAGTCGTTGATGTATCTAGATTTTTTTCGTGATTAGGATCGCCATTCCTTTACCATAACAAGCTATAATTGACAGGTTCAAAGAATCAAAGGCTTTAGCTATAAGTCAAGAAGAGTTAGTTCAAGATTAAGAGTACTTAGCATAAATAGTATAACGGTGCCTCATTTCCACCGAATCGCTAGCTTCCAAGACCAAACCCGATTGAAGAGAGGTTATTGGCTTTCTGCGGAGATATATCTCGATCTTTGTATAACACTCAAAAAATTATTTCATTTGTATGCAAGATTCTCTATCTGTCATAAAGAGAAGCTTTTGGTTGTTTGCGGAGATCGATACATCTCCATCTTCCTGATCTTGGTTGCATGCAAGATTTTCTCTCAATTTCGGATCACCAATCCTACACTTTTGGCTATTTAATGAGGAATTCAGGGGTTTTGTTTGCACTTTGCATTTGCTTTCATAGAAATTTAGAAAGAACGTCAAGTGACAACAGAGAAGATAAGGGAAACAGATAAGAAAAATAGCGAAAATTTAGGGCCTGTTTGGTATTCTATTTGAATTTTTTTATCATTTCTCAAAACATTTCTTAAGAACATTTATTGAAAATATTTTTTTTAAGACTTAAAAACTTGATTGTGTACGATTTAAAAATTTTAAATCTTACAACTTAAACTAGACAAAGAGATATAAAAAGAGGGGATCGCAGGAGAGGGAGAAAGATGAGAGAGAATGAAAGAAAGTAAGAGATGATTGAAGAAAAGAGAAATAAGAGAGAGGATGAGATAAAGAGGAAGAGGAGTGAGAGAAACAAACGAGATAATGAAATAGCGGATTGAAAGAAAGACGAAAAAGATAAAAAAAAATAGGAAGAGAAAGAAGAAAAGAGAGAGAGAGGGGGAAGGAGGGAGATAAAAAAATGAGCGAGTTTAAGTTTAAAATTTCTAAAAACTAAATTTTTTTGTTTTTAGAGAATAAACTATATTTTTTAGTTAGTCTTGAGTTCAGTTTTTCAAAATAGTTTTACCAAACAAATTTTTAAGGCCTAAAACTTGAAAATTGTTTTTCAGTTTAAAAAGTTGGATTCAAGTAGAATACCAAACATTCTCTTAGGGTTTTTGACATTCTTTCTTTAGTTTTCTTCTAAGCACAACAAAAGGGTGAAATAGAAAAAGAACGTCAAGGTGCAATGTCGAAATTCCAATTATCTGACCCTTTTCTGTGAAAAAAAAAAATCTCAACCTAACCGGACCCAAAACTTATCATAATTTTGAAAGCACATAAAAAAAACGGGTTGAGGCCATCATATGCAATTGTGACTTGTGAGTCAAGTCA